ACCGTCTTTTTCTAATAAAATATCCAAATATGAAACAGATGTGTCGGAATCAGTGGTATCTTTTCTTTCAAACTCACCGGGATATGTCGTATCGACATAAGAATGGAAATAACCATTATTAATTGACAATACGTCGTCGATATATCTAAATGCCGAGTTGAAGGCCACAGCAAGTGTTTACTTCTTTTCACGTATAAGATTTTGAACAAATTCTGCTTCATATGAATACAAAAAAGGTCTACTAATAACGGGGCGCAATTGGTACCCTTAGAAATTCCAATAGATTGTTGGAAGACCTGGTCTCCAAAAACCACATACATATTTTCAATCAGAAACTCAAGCATCTTTTGATATCAACTTCAGAGTACTTGTGTGTACAATCAGGATCGCGGGTATGTTAAGGCTACACCCAGAGATATCCTACTTGCCTCTACAATATGACGTCATAGTAAGCTGTATGACGTGAAGTTTAGAAATAACGATTTCTTAATATTTATATTTAAAGTTTAACTTCAGGTCCAAGAAATGAATAGAATCATTCAAAAACATAATATAAACCAAATCTTGTCGTTTTTGGTTGGTATAAATACCTAAGTATTTATCACGGGGGTTCAATACAAAACCCATGGCGTCATAACAATTGATCAAATATTTGCCGAGTGAAAATTAAACGTGACGAGAATTCATGTAAACAAATATATAAAATGGGAGTTTTAAAGCATATACCATGAATGTCATGTGTGATTCATAAGGAATTAAAGATTAAGAATCAGGTATGCTGATATATTCTTATCATGGTTTCTGATAATGAACACAGGCAGTGCTTTGAAATCCCGATCAGCCTTTCCTCTGTCGTTCTATAACAACAAAGTTGCAAAAGTTCAACACTAAGCCGTATACTTTGAGACATAATTTTTTTTCTATCGAAAGCTTGTTGAACTTTTCACTTTTTCATTAAGGCAATTTTTCTATTTATAGACGTCACGTGATGACGTCGTAGTGGAGTGCTTCTTTTAGCCTAAGACTCAATGACGTCTATACAATAGATAATAATAGTAAATGTTTAATCCATGGCTTTTATGATTTATTTATCTTACATTTTACGAAAAAAGTCTAAATTCGCCGAAATATGATCTGGGTACTGCCTTAACATACCTGCGATGTTTTTTAACAAAATAATTTTGCAAATGACCAATGACAAGGTAAGTAAATTTACGAGTTCCATTTTTATTGAAAAAGCAGCTGTTAGTGATATCAAAAAGCCTGGACTTTAATTGATCGTTGGGAATGGTTGTATATAAAGTTGAAAAGTCGTAAGTTTTTACATTGTTGATTTTGGTTAAATTTTGTGATTTCAAATTTTCCAAAAGTTCCTTGGAATTTTTAAGTATCCACATCTGATTTACACCACTTTTCGAATATATTGTTGCACATTACTCCTGAAGTTTCTTCTTTACTACTGTTAATATTTTAGTGAGGAGTAAAGAACGACAATGACTTAACATATGTTAAACAACTTAGTCAACTCTAAGAAAAAAAGATTGGAGAAAGAGAAAATACGAATACAAGAAACGATTATCTCAACATGTGAAGAAACTATTTCTGATTTAAAATCCCAGTTACTGAAGATAGATGGAAAATACGAAAAACTCATAAAAGATGTTACAAATCATGGAGAAGAATGGCACAGAGAAATTGACATTTTTATCATAGAAACAACGGGTGAAATTCGGGAAATGAGAAACAAACACAGAGATACCCTGCTGAAACATTTAAACATAATTGAGAGATTGGCTTCTCATGTCAGACAATCTTTGCCTGAAATTGAAGAAATTCTACAGTTAAATGAAGTTTTATCACCGTAATCTATCAGTACAAGACATGGCTACACAGCGAAGGCATCCGAAATTGTCTCCTCTCCAGTCAAATCACGGCACGATGCACCGCTACCTTAGAAACTGAGTATGATCAACTACATGTATACTTAGTCACTTGTGCTAGCGATGAAAATCTCCTCACACTTGGGAATGGCAAAATCATAAAACTGTACAACCTCCAGGGCAAACTACTAAAGTCAATCCAAGCAAAGTCAGGAAACACACCATGTGGCATAGCAGTGACAAGGAGTGGAGATGTAGTTTATACTGATCCTAAGCAAGAACTTTAAATGTTGTAAAGAATGTAGAGATAAACGATGAGGAAAAAGATCAAACAAAAGTAGTCCGTTACTGTAATTTTGCAGAAAAACAAAGCATTCAGTTTGATGATCAGGGAAAGCCTTTGTATTCAAATAAAGGCCTTAAGTTCATATGTGAGAACAAAAACCTGGACATCTGTGTGTCTGACCATGGAACCAAAGCTATAGTCGTGGGTAATCAGGAAGGAAAACTCTGATTTAGATACACTGGTCATCCTTCTACCAAAGCAGCATTCAATCCAATGGCCATCACTACAGATAGTCAAGCACAGATTCTAATAGCAGACTATACAAATAGTCTTATCCACATCCTGGACAAAGATGGACAGTTCCTTTCTTTTATTGATACCTGTGATTTTGCCATTCCATTGGGTTTATTTGTAGACAGCAGAGACAATATCTTTGTTGCTGAGTTTTTTGGTCAAGAGAAAAATAATTAAATACATGATGTTTTGAAGCAGATTTATAAGTAGCTATGAGTGTATTACACTGTATAATGTTATTTGTTATACTTCTATGATTAATTTGAAACAGAAGTTTGAAGGATCAGTTCTAACTTTGCATTCTAAAAGCGAGAGTACGGCTGCAAAACGTGTGTTGTTTTTTTTTTTCATTCATATTCACCCAATTTGTCATAAGGAAATAAGGTATAAAGTTGATGTCAACACAAATATTTTCTCCTCACACAAAATTAACATAATTAGAACTGCCGGAAATTCTAGGTCGTAAAAATTGTAGCAATCTTAGAATCAGTTTATTTGTACCACCTGAATCCTAAATGGCACGTGCCTACAGTTTACAATTATAATGGAATACGGGGTAAATGCAATTCTCAAAAGCAAAATAGCAGAATTTTTCCGATAAATTATTAATCATGAACATTTTAATTTGCTTTCAGACGAATTCAGAATTAAAAGTGCAGATGGTGACGTTTTTGTGCATTGGGGCCCGAGAAGGGAAAACCACCAAATCATACGTTATTACAGCAAAACGTCAAACAAAATATATATTTTCAGGACAGTTTCACTAAAATTTGTTCTTAAAATGGCAATAATATTTATATGTTACAGGTGTATTTTTATGTTGAGTTTACAGTGATTTTTTTCCTTAAAAACGATGGAGAAATGAGAAATGATAATATGTATTAATAAACCTGTCGAGTAGAACAAAATTTAAATAGTGCACCATTTTATAGAGGACCTGGTCACCAAAGATTATATGCACATAGATGTTTTCAATGAACAACTCCATCATCCTTTTTATATGAGTATTTATGTGTTAAATCAGAATGTATTTTTACAGAGTTATTTTGTTCATGACCAACCACAAGATAAAAATGATGATGAATATCATTTATTATTACATGTAGATGATTGCATTGGATACCGCATTGGATACAAGAATGGGTTTAACAGTCATAAATTTATATATCTTTAATATTTACTCGCACTGTAAGGACACAGTCTTAATAACATTTGAGGGTATGTATACTTATATATTAACATCCAATGAATATTATCTCCTTTATTTCTTATATAAAGCAATCGATCAGTAAAAGCCGCCAAAAAAAAAAAACGACCTGTATAGATTTCTTGAGCAGTAGCTGTTCTATCGATGAAACATACAATGATGTACATTTTAATGATATAATTTTTAACATACTCAATTCTACTTTACATGTTTATTTTTACAGATATAAATATAAACGCGGATTATGCATTTTTTCTGCAACATTTATTCCCGTACTAATAACTAAAGAAAGCATTTTATTGTTGTTACATATTCTCTACTGCAAATGTATCTAAATACTAATCGGCCTTAAAGACAATGTTATCGTATGACAAATATGATATTTGAGAAATGTACATGTACTGTACAAATGCTATTTTGAATAATGGCCCATTGACTTTCAATCATGAATAGCTGTTCAGTAAATAGTCTATTTATATACAACACACCTGGAAATCTCAATAAATATTTTTATGTCAGATGAGCAAACATTTTCGAATCCTTGCGCTGTTAAATATATTTGATTTTACCTCTCATTTTATCATTTACGTCAGATATAGTTTAAATGTTATGAACGTATTGTTTACCTCGAAAATAAATCTTACACATCACTATATGATAAACCTCAATTGTATGCACAACTTTTATATCAGTTTTGTTAATAACATTGAACTGTGCATGTAGTGGGAATTTGAAAGCATATTATATTTATTTGAAAACATATGTTCCCAGCACATACAATGTTGTACCAGTGGAGCAGAAATGTATAAATCGATTTAATTGTACATTTCTGATTCAAATGACATAACTCAAATTGGTTCTCTAATTTTCTTGCTGTGTTATACTTTGCCCCTTATCTTCAAATACCATTGTCAATAAATGCTTAATCATAAATTAATTAAGATTGATATCAAAGATTCATATTTCAAAAATAAGTTCATTACTTTAAGCATTAACATCAGATAAAAAGGTAAGAATAGGAATTTTGTCGCCTGAATAGAAATCATCAATATTCCACGAAATTGTTAGAGTTATGCATTTTACTAAGATCAAGCACTTTATTGATCAGAATTAGAACATAAAACTATCTAAAAGCTTCGACTCGTGCTACCAGAATATTCAGTTTGCTTCTGAGGATGTTCGCTTTATATTCGAGCCTTCAATTTGCAAAGAAAATAGTTTACATATCAATCTTCTCATATTACATTCTAATTACTGTGTTAATAGTATATATAGCGGAACATTTGATGAAAAAGACAATACTGTGAATAACGATAAAAAATTAAATCATATTCCAAATATGTAAGTATTTTCTAGAATATTTAGAAATCTTATATGAAAATATTATTATCAGTTTTTAAATAAGAGAATATTTTATGCAAATATTTTTCAATAGGTTAAATATGTTGAAAACAACGCTTCTCCTTTTATGCATATTGGTTGAAGTGTGTACAAAAGGAACCCATCAAGACTTCATCAGTAAATTCAACAAGTACAACTCCGTATGTCAAGGAATAGGATATAAAACAATGAACTGTTCTGGAACAGAAAAAAGTAGTTAATTACTTATAAATTTTACTATTCTCTTCCTAGAATGTTTAACATAAAAAAATGTATGAATCTTATATTAAATATTCATTTAGTGTTTTCGTTCATATCAGAAACTTTTTGATCTATAATATTATATTAACAAGTGTAAAACGGAATGTAGGTAAGATTATATCTGATATCTGATCAATAATTCCAAAAAATTTGCCATGCGTACGAAATTTAAAAAAAATGTACGTTAATTTTTAGTTTTGAGTATAAAACGTAACATATTACATTTTCTTTGAACAGATATCATTGCTTTTAATACACTTTTGTCTAAACGACAAGAGAATCTTGGAAAGAGTTCCGTTGTTGTATTTGGAAACATAATACTAAACACTGGAAATGCCTATGACGGTATCACAGGTAAATTTACAGCACCTGAGCATGGTATCTACTCATTCTCGTGGACCATTCTTACAACAACTGGAAAGTATTTTCACACAGAAATTGTCCTCAATGGTAACATTATTGGTTATAATCATGTGGACGGTACCACAGGCAGTTCTCACTATTCTTCCGGATCTTCATCAGCTATAATAAAAATGAAGAAGAATGATAAAGTCTGGATAAGAACACATGGTGACCATGGAAAGTTTGCTTACGAAAACTGGTCGTCCTTTTCCGGATTTAAATTGTAAATTAATGTTTCAAATAAAGATACTTCAACAGTTGATTATATGTATCTTCTTCATAGTCATTTTTACCTTTGGATATATTTGGATATTTCATTAGAGAAGGACATTAATAGGAAACTAACTACTATGATAAATGTGATAACTTCAAATTTTCTTTTCTAAAGTATCATTATTTATGCACCAGTATACTTTTAAGGGGACCTGGACACAATTGCATTCTTTACATTTTAAATTTCTGTATGTTTATTTAAAAAATAATTTCAGTTTAATGAATTGAACTTACATGAATATTCTTAGAATTCAGTGACAACAACATCTGTGTTTGTAAATAAGGCATGATATTGTTATTGGTAATGTTAACATTTTACCGGGCCCCAAGACTATAAACTGAGAGTAGACTTATAAGTCAAAATTTCAAACCAATATAACTTTGAAATTATTTTGATAATGAAACAAAATATTTATCATATATTTCAATTTAAATGTTATATAGAATTGCAAATTTTTAAGCAAATACATTAAATAAAAATCAAGATATTAAAAATCAAAATTTTGACTTACGTCTATTCTCAGTTTATGGTCTTTGGGCCGGATGTGATCATTTTTTTCTCTGTACACATCACTGAGCGCTATCTAACAATACTAGTGAGCTGGTTTTGCTTTCTCAACTTTCTGCTCTAAGTTTTCTGCATGCCTTATACTTCTAATATCTTTTTTTATTAATACACAGTAAAATTTCTACTTTTCTTAAGTATTAAGGATAAAGTACCAAGGTACTATGTGTCAATCAAATGCGTCCCGAAATTCTTAGCTTTAATAATCGCTAGATAAAAAGTATTTAAACACGCTTTTATTATATTTTAGCATGAAATACTCTAGCAAGATACAAGTCATAATAATTAATGTAAATTTTAGAAAAAATTAACTTCAAATCTGTGTGTTCAATTCCCATTAACACCTGCATTTGGAGTTTTCGATACGCAAGTGCATGTACATTTATTGCTTGAAAGAAAAGCTTTTACAAACTAGCAGAGATACCGATCTCGTGACCTTTAAATTTGAACTTTGACCTATACTATACACTATAGTACAAATATACATATTTTCTTTGACCTTTGATAGGTAAATTCTTGCTATTTGGCAAGCAAACTGCTTGTCTTCAGGCATGTTGATACACATCAGCGTTATTTTCAATTCGACCTTGATCTTTGACCTTTTTTCAAGACTAATTATTTTATGTTTTATAAATTTTGAGACATAAGGCTTTGGGAACTAGCCTTTATTTATATTAACGAAACAAGACCTCCATTCAAAAGATTTTCATCACATGAACCAAGCAAACTGAACGAATGGATACGTACAAAGGAGGACAACCCCCCTTACAGCTTAGAGAAAAAGTAATTTTCAATTCAAAAGTTCATAATGTTTTTTTAATAAATTTTTTCAAAAACTTCTTGTCAATACCGTCTCTTACACATTTGATTTAATCATTTTATTTATTTACTTAATGATAAAAAATTATTTTCAGTTATGTTTTAAGGTAAGTAAAAAAAGAAAAAAAAGAGAAAAATTTGAGCTTCACAGATGATAGATTAAACGCGTCAACCACTACACTAAAAGTCTTTTTATCACCCAACAGTGTGTAATTTAGATAAACGAGTTTGTTTTTAATATAATGTATTTATCATATCATTGACATTATCATTATATAATATATAATAAACTCTATTCAACTTTATGTAAATATTGAAAGTTTCAGTTTGATTTCAATCACAAGAAATACTTTTCACATGATTTAAGCAGATGGTAAAAATCAACATGATAAAAAGCTAATAGCATGTTAATTGACTAAAATAGACTAACAATCTGAAATGGTTTTTAAGGTTAACCTAATATGTCAGCTTGTAACTTCCAGGTCAGAGGACATTCTTTCATCCAGAATTTTCTCCAATCAATTGCACACAAAATCAACAGAATACATATGACCAAATCATTTTTCAAAAAAATAAACACCAGAAAGAAGACACTTAGATAATGTTTTTAAGGGAAGGTTAACATTAAGGTTGACCTTGGAGTGACCTCCAAAGCATTCAAAGAGTGCCTGGATCACCCGAACAGACTGAAAGGTTCCTGTACAGTTCGAATAAAAATATTTATTTACGATTTTCCTCATTCGCATGTTCTGTGATACACCTAACAACCTGCATGAATATTGTTTTCAAGAAAAAAAGCACTTTATCTAAAAGCATATTAAAGTATATAAAAACATCAAGTACTGAAACAGTTCTATATTCTGTAAAAGAGCTATATATCTAAAAGCTTGTGATTTTCGAATATTCTTCATATATTTTGAAAGAGTACTTTCCATGATAAGTGGTAAGAACGAAATAATCTTGCACAGTACAATTCAAACATTAGCCTACCTATTGTACACTGCCTTACCTAATCCACACTTGCATCTAACATATTACAAAATATATTATTAATTGAAGGGTATGGGGGGTGTATATTTGGAGCCGCCCCGTCTGTGGATTAAATAAAAGACTATGAATTTAATCAAACTATTACACTTATACTAAAGGATTAACATACAAATAGTAAATTTTAATTAATCCATTGAAATTAATCAAGGTCAAACATCTTACAAGTATAACAGACATGGATTTAAACTTAGTCACCTGTTTTCTATTGCATAAAGAATAATAATAAAGATAAAAGGGGAAATAAAACATATTCATAAAAAAAGTTGCATGAGGATACATGTGAAAATTCTTATAAAACAGATAATAAAACAGGAAGATTTTTAACGTTTTATCTTAAATATTGAAAGAATATAAAGGAAAGTGAAAGTATTTTTTTCTTAGGATTTATGTGTTTATATAAAAACAATAACTTACTTAACATATGGTAAACAAATTATACTGTATTACAAAAAATAAAGCAAGACTACAACTCCAAAATGAATCCCCGATCAAGTTGCCAGGACATCCTCCGATGTGATCTTTGTGAAGATAATGTGGCACAGATGTCCTGTAGTTTTTGTCTAGTGAATCTGTGTAAACTTTGTGTAGGAGAACACATTTCTGATATCTCTAGAAAACATGATGTGATGCCCCTGTATCTAAAGAAATCCAAGATTGTGTACCCTCATTGTAAAACCCATTTTAAAGAGCCGTGTGAAGCACACTGTGAAGACTGTAACATTCCGGTATGTCTAAATTAAAAGTGTTACATCTGAGAAACATAAGAGGAATCTCTTTACAAGTTTAAAAGACTAAGTGAACTCTAAGAAAAAAAATTGGAAAAGGAGAAAATATGATTACAAAAATAGTTATCTCAACATGTAAGGAAACTGTTTCTGATTTAAAATCCCAGCTGTCAGTGAGCATAGAATGAAATTACGAAAAACTCAATAAAAAATCGTGCAACCCATGGAGAAGAATGGTACAGAGAAATTGGCATTTCTATCATGAAACAAAGAATAAAATTCGGGAAATGAGAAACAAACATAGAGACACTGTTAAAACATTTAAATATAAAAGAGAAATTGACTTTTCATCTCAAACAATCATTGAAATTGAGAAAATTCTACAGTCAAATGAAGAATCAAATTCTCTGTCTTATGAGATAAAGTCGGGGGAATTTTAAAAACGCTACAAAAGATGAATGTCAAGGTTCCAGGTTTTACCCCTCTAAAACTTGAAGGAGAATTTTTACAATTGTGTTGGTTCTTAAAACCGTTATCTTTCAGAACAGAACATGGCTACAAAGCAAGGATATGCGAAACTGCCTCCTCTCCAGTAAAATCACTGCTTGATGCACCAAAGCTGATCATTACTTTCAAAACTGAGTATGATAAACTATTCTCTGTCACTTGTGTTAGCGATGAAAATCTACTCACACTTGGGAATGGCAAAATCGTGAAATTGTACAACCTCCAGGGCAAACTACTAAAAGTCAGGGGACACATCATGCGGAACAGCAGTGACAAGGAGTCGAGATCTTGCTTATACTGATCCTAAAGCAAGAACTTTAAATGTTGTAAGGAATAAAGAGATAAATAAAGGGATCAGACTACAGGGATGGATACCTTATCATGTCTGCAGTACCTCCTCTGAAGACCTCCTGGTTACTATGCTCAATGAGGAAAAAGAACAAACACAAATAGTCCGTTACTATGATCTTGCAGAAAAAATAAAGCTTTCAATTTTTAATGATCAGGGAAAGCCTTTGTATTCAAATGTATGTCTTAAGTTCATATGTAAGAACAAAAATCTGGACATCTGTGTATTTGATCATGGAGCCAAAGCTATAGTGGTGGTTAATCACACAGGGAAAGTCCAATTTAGATACACCGGTCATCCTTCTACTACCAAAGACACTTTTAATCCAGTGAACATCACTACGGTCAGTAAGGCTCAAATTCTGATAGCAGACTGTACAAATAAACTTATTTGAGCTCGAATACTGTTCGTTATCTCCATATTCCATTCACATCCTATACAAGGATGCACAGTTCCTTTCTTATATTAATACCATCGATTTTGCCATTCCATTGGGTTTATGTGTAGACAGCAGAGACAATTTCTTTGTTGCTGAGTTTTCTGAAATTGAAAACATAATGTTTTAAAGCACATTTATCAAAAAATATGAGTGTATTACATTGAATAATGGTTATTTGTAATACTTCTATGATTAATTTGAAGCAGAAGTTTGAAGGATCAGTTCTAACTTTGCATTCTAAAAGCGACAGTACAGCTGCACATCATGTGCTTTTTGCAAGTTGATGCCAACAATTTGATAAACGCAAATATTCTCCCCTGATACAAAATTAAAATATTTAAAATCTGCTGGAAACTTTAGGGTCGTACAAATTGGAACAATCTAAGAATCTGTTTATTTGTACCACGTGAATTCTAATTGGCACGTGCCTACCTGTAGAGTTTACAATCGTAATGAAATATGGGGTAAATGCAATTCTCAAAAGCAAAATATATTTCTTC